AAGCTTATATAAGTTGCTGAAAGCAAGACAGACGGATAGCAGATTGCTTGGTAAGCAAGCAGAAACCAACCCAACGAAGGGGATGGAAGGAGATTTTTCAAAACGTAAGTACTGGTAATTACGGATAATTTATATAAGAAAACGAAAGACTATTAGTCGTATCTTCTCTTAGATAAATCGATTTATATAAATATGCCACTTATCTGAAAATTCGAAACCAGCGCTCGACCTTGCACCCCCCTTTTTATGATGTACATGCATGATTCAGCCTTGATTGTTGAGACATTTTATAGGCGAAGAGGATGACGTTAGTGGAGTTATGCACGTTGTCCGCCTCTTTAAACCTTGTTGGGTTAGATTTTTTCTGGTCTTCTCATGTGACGCTTTCTACTCTTTCTCCTTCAGGTGAATGTACACACCATGACCGGCCACACGAACACGGTCTCCACAGTGCGCTGTCAGGAGTCTGACCCACAAGTCATAACCGGATCACATGATGCCACCATCCGGCTGTGGGATTTGGCCACCGGCCGAACGATGTGCTGTCTAACCAATCACAAGAAGAGCGTTCGTTCGGTCTTCATTCACCCTACCCAGTGAGTACTAGTTTTTGTTTTCTGAAAGTACCGGTTACCGACGTAATGCAGACCTATGCGGTTAGCGCGCTTGCTACACGTTCTAATTAAGATATCCTTGTGTTTGGTTGCTGCACGTTTTAAATTTGGATGAGCTTAAGTTTGGTGCTGTACGAAGAAAAATCCTACGTACTCGCGGTCGTGTCCGTTACACCCAACTGGCTGTCTTCTTATTTGACGAACGCGCCTTTATGTCCCTTGATGCAGCTGGCCTTCTCAATGGGTGCATAATTTGATATCTTCTGCCCCTGTCATAAAAAAAACTGAATATATATTTTGTATTAATGCACTCTAGGTTACGTAGTCGTGCAAATTTTGTTAGAAGGAGCATTCACATCGTCTTAACAATGCCATTAGGCAGTAACCCCTGACAGTATTATTGTCACAACACCCAAGAATACTTCAATAGAGGAGAATATCCGAGTTCCAGGAAGCAATTCCGAAGAAGAAGCGAT